ATAGGTGTCTAAGTTGTTCAGGTAAATAGATGTATGTGTTTGTACAATAAATGGTATAGGTAAATAGATGTATGTGTTTGTACAATAAATGGTATAGGTAAATAGATGTATGTGTTTGTACAATAAATGGTATAGGTGTCTAAATTGTTCAGATATGTGTTTATGTATCAAAATGTTTATAGTTTCTTTGTAACATTCCTTATACAAGTGCTTGTTTGAATTATAATACATTAATTTAGGAAAGTAAATTGTGCTCTAAAGTGTAATGATAATGTGTTTTTGTAATTACACATTTACTGTTAATGCACAGGAAAATTGTTTTTTTTTGTGTAGTTAAGTTAGAGTATTTCAAAATACTTAAATAGTTACAAATTTTTAGTTCAGTAAAGTGACAGTCTAATAATATTTTAACTGAGTTGCTGGAACTACAAATTATAATATATTAACTGAGTTGCTGGAACTACAAGTTATGATATATTAACTGAGTTGCTGGCAGTACAGGATATAATATTTTTAACTGAGTTGCTGGCACTACAAGTTATAATATTTTGAACTGAGTTGCTGGAACTACAAGTTTTACATTTCTCTGCTAGTTATGCTGTGGGCTTTAGATTAAAATTTTCATACTGTACCAAATAAAGATTATTTGAAATGATAACATTGGCTTATTAGTTTCCTAGGTGTTAAAACAATAATTTTATATATGCAAAACAAAGTCCTGAAAATAGTGTAGGTTAAATGAAGAGAAAGGAAAAAGTAATTACAACTTTTATCATTAAATTCTGAGAGTGAATGGAAACTTTTTCCAATATTGAGTTGAAGACTGTCGTATTCTTCAGTTGGATTAATGGAAGCACCAAACTGTATGCCAGTTTTGGAAGGATTGGCAATGGTTATTCTTCTGTTTTCGTCAATATTTCAACAAGAGTTAAAACCTATATGTTAAATGTTATCAAACTAAAAAACATAGTTTTCTGTCTGTTTCTTGTTTATTTTTATTTTTGAAGCTTTTTTTAATGTTCAGAAATTATTTCATACCACACTTTTTGTTTATCGTTTGAATTTTCTAAAATGATGAATTCTTGCTCCACTGTTTTGACCTTTGAAATATTTGACATTTCTTGAGTATAAATTGGTGGAAAATAATTAGGAAGGAGTTTTAATCTCGAACAAACCTAAAAATTTCTGCTTTGCTGGTTTCTTAGGTAGATTTAAAAGGGTACTGTTTCATGGGATAGTTCTACCATGTACTAATTTATCTGTGTATGTGATACTGCTTTACATCTGTTACTTGAAGCAGAGATGATATTTGATCCACTTTGCTGGTTTGTTAGGTACATAGGGAAGGTGAAATGTAAAATGCAGTTTGGCATTTTCAGGCAGTTTCATTTCTGACTTGAAAGGTCTACTATGGAAGTCTTTGTTTCCTGTCTCATTTTATCTGCTGATTATATGTATGTCTATCTTTAAGGTAATCCAACACCAATAGTCATAACTTTATATCCAAGTAAAAGTTATTTTAGTTTCTTTAATCTTTAAAGTAATCCAACACCAATAGTCATAAGTTTGTATTCAAGTAAAGTTATTTTAGTTTTTTAATCTTTAAGATAATCCAACACCAATAGTCATAAGTTTATATTCAAGTAAAGTTATTTTAGTTTCTTTAATTCTTTAAAGTAATCCGACACCAATAGTCATAACTTTATATCCAAGTAAAAGTTATTTTAGTTTCTTTAATTCTTTAAAGTAATCCGACACCAATAGTCATAACTTTATATCCAAGTAAAAGTTATTTTAGTTTCTTTAATTCTTTAAAGTAATCCGACACCAATAGTCATAACT